GAGCAACAGGACCGCCGGTTTGATTCCCACATGGGCCAGTGAACTGCATCCGAGCTGAGCAGCCGCTGAGCTACCAATAGGCAGCAGGATGGCTCAGCTGGTGAGAGCAAGTGCTCTTAACAAGGTTGCCGGTTCGACTCCCACATGGGGTGGTGGACTGCGCCCCCGCCCCCCACTGGTGGGCAGCGCCCCCCACAACTAGATTGAAAGCAGCAACTGGACTTGGAGCTGAGCTGCGCTCTCTACAACTAAGATTGAAGGACAACAGCTTGACTTGGAGCTAATGGGTCCTGGGAAAACCCAATGGTCCCTTCCCCAATTCCCCAATAAAATCTTTAAAAAAAAAAAAAAGAAAGAAAGAAAAGAAAAATATTACAGGGACAGCCAGTTGGCTCAGTTGGTTAGAGCGTGGTGCTGTAACACCAAGGTTGCCGGTTCAATTCCCGCATGAGCCAGTGAGTTGTGCCCTCCATAACTAGATTGAAAACAGTGACTTGACTTGGAGCTGATGGGTCCTGGAAAAACACACTGTTCCCCAATAAATAAATAAAAAATTAAAAAACAAAAAAACACTCCAGGAAAGAAAACTACATAGACCAGACTCAGCTATCTGGTGCCTCATAATCTAAGAAGCCTTTTGCCCTTCCACCCCCAACACACACACTATTCAAAAAATACGTTTTTTTAAATGCAGTCGTATAACCAGGCTGGCATAGGTGACCGGACTGAATTGGACAGAGAACAGAAAAGGACAAACCAATGGAGCGGGCAGCTCAGAAGTGCTTTCTGACGGAGACATTCCAAGAACACTGTTGTAAGACTAGCGGGATCGAGGTTTGCAATCCGAGAACTTTTTCTCCCAGTTCCTCTCAGTTATAGAACTAAGTCTGACTTGGAGATATAATTTCTGGAACTCTTGTCATGGATGTTGAGTGGCCAGTTTTCATTTCCTTCTAAGGCAGGTATTTTGAACTCTGTATGTGCGCCAATTTTTAGTTGTATCAGACATTTTACCATATATGGTTGTCATAAGTCAAAAAACAAGATTTGATCCACGATGGGTGGATCTTGTCATAGTGACTCATTCTGTTGGCTTTTCAACATAAATAAAAAGTAAGTGCAGGGGTGACCAGTTTGCTCAGTTGGTTAGAGCGTGGTGCTGATAACACCAAGGTTGCCAGTTTGATCCCCGCATGGGCTACTGTGAGCACCACCTTCCTTAAAAAAAGAGTCAACTATGCCATTGTAGCATGAAAGCAATGTGTAACCAATGACCATGGCTGTTCCCCAATAAAATTTAAAAAAAGAAAGAAAAGTAAGTGCATTATGAGGAGACATAGCCCAAAGAAGGATTTTCCCCTGAGCACTTTCAGATGCTGAACGAGAAACTCTTGTCATTGCAGGTGGGATGGAAGACAACCCGCGAGTATTACACCTTCATGTGGGTTGCTTTGCCCACTGACGTAAAGAGCGAATTGACCAAACAGCAGGAAGTACAATTTAAAGGTGAGACAAATACAGGATCAAAGGTACTGAAGACAGCAGCCAAGACTCATTCATTCCCTTGAACTTGGGCTTTCTAGAGCATATAAGACTTCCAGGTTTTTAGTTTTCTGAATAGACCTTATTTTGGATTATAAATCATGTTGTGTTTTCAGCTTATTACCTGCCCAAGGATGATGAGTATTACCAGTTCTGCTATGTGGATCAGGATGGTGTGGTCCGGGGAGCAAGTATCCCTTTCCAGTTCTGTCCAGAAAATGAGGAGGACATCCTGGTTGTTACCACTCAGGTCTGTAAACATCTTACTCCCATCCCTTCCCGCCGGTAAGAGTAGCAATTCCAGGATAGGGTGGAATTTGAGTCAATAGGCTTTACTGAGTGTCTGACAGATACTGTTGAGAAGAACTTACACAGCACCCACTCTCAAACCCACTCAGGAGTGACTTAGGGACATTTACAAGAATGACAACAAATGATTTCTCCTTTCTCTAAAGCTTCTGTTACTCAGTTGGCATTCAGTTATTCCCTTAACTTCTCCAGTTACTTAATTTTTGTCATCTCCACATCTTATCACCACAGTGAATCAATAAACTCCTCTGAGGAGAGACACACCACATCTTTGTATCTGTCAGTTCTGCCCCAGATCCTGTCATGCATGAGTATTAGATTCACTTATTTACTCAGTTACTTATCAGGACAGCAACTTTGCATCCAGTGTGACAGTAGGCACTAGGGACGCAATGAAGGATCAATTAAAACACTGTCCCTGGCCTCAAGGAGTGAAGTCCAGTAGGAGAGACAAACAGTACTAAGTGTTTGCAAGAAGAACCTACATTCTTCTGTCATTCTTCCTTTTCACTTTTTATGGCCTTAATTTTGTTTCTCTTTCTTGTTTATGGCAGTCTCAGTGCTGCAATCAAACAGACATACTCTATTACCCTCTTCCCTCTATACTGAGGAGCTGCTCCTATTTGGAGTACACAGATGTCACCACAGTGACTGGGAATCATCCAGACCCTCGCCAGCCCAGACTGTAGGAATTTTCTGCTAGAGGGATTTGCACTAAGCTCCAACGGGTCAAATATGAGTGTATGGAATGCTCTTTTATAGGGTGAGGTGGAAGAGATTGAGCAGCACAACAGTGAGCTTTGCAAAGAAAACCAGGAGCTGAAAGATAGCTGTGTCAGCCTCCAGAAGCAGAACTCAGACATGCAGGCGGAGCTCCAAAAGAAGCAGGTATGGCTGCAGGTTAAAGGTGAACTTGGAGTGTGCAGATCAGAATGGTACTCTTATCCAGCACTAGTTTCAGTTTTGCTTGTGATCTCCCCTCCCTTATGCTAATATCTTTGAATAGACACAGTGTTAAAAGTTTCATATGGATTACTTTACTTACACTTCATGGCAAACCTTTGGAACAGGTACTATTATTATCCCAATTTTATAGATGAGTAACCTGAGGCTCAGAGAGGTTAAGTCATCTCTTATACAGCTAATCAGTGATGAAGCCAGGATTCACACCCAGGAAGCCTGATGGCTTCTTCCCATTGCCTATTTATCACTTGAAATAATTTACTTTGATTAGCTAGAACATGGACATCAAGAGAAAAGAGAATATTAAAGTAAGGTGTTGTGGGTTATCCAAACTCTTTGTTGCTTCTCTTTTTAATCATCCTTCAAATCAGCAGGTGGTAAATGAGAGTTGATAATGCTAGAAGCTAAACTGGAGGGTTTTCTCTAAAGACTATAAACTAATTACACTGGGGTTATAGCTTAGACGTTTCCAGAACACACAGACCTTGGCAATTACTACCTGTAAAGCCCTTGATCTACAGGTGAGAAATCTGAGGCGCAGAGGAGAGGCCAAGGGGTCTGTTTAGTGGTCACACCGGGTTAGGACTCACTTCTCTTGACTTCCAGACAGCGCTCTGTTCTTTACATCGTGCTGTCACACAAGTACCTGTGATGTCCTCTGCCCTGGACTGGTATGAAAGTGTTCATGGCAGGTCCAGACTGCAGAGCTGGCCCGTCCCAGGCAGTGAGATAGCAGACAAAGGTGGAATAGACATAACTCACAACTCGGCTGTCAAGAGCCAGCATCTGGCCAGGAGGAGCCCTACAGCCCAGTCCACCTGCCAGGTTCTAACCAAGGAATCAGAGGGTCTGATTCTTGGGATTGCTCTCCTGCATACTTGCTACCAATTATCATAGTGATAACAAAAGCCAATATTTATTCAGCACCCACTATGTGCCAGGCACTATAATTAAGCACATTGCTTCACTTAATTTTTACAACAGCCCTGCAGCTCAGAGAGGTTAAGTGTCTTGCTCCATGTCACAGTCAGTTTGTGGCTTTGGAATGAGCTGGAATTTGAACTCAGATATTGTTTATGTTAAAGCCCAAGGGTTTTAGAGCCAAGATCATACAGTGGTAAGGGCCAGCCGAGTGGCTCAGTTGGTTAAGAGCTTGTTCAAGATTGCGAGCTCTGAGCAACAGCGATTCGATGCCCAGCCCGAGCTGAGCTGCTAAGAGGTGGCAGGATGGGTCAGCTACAAAAAAAAAAAAAAAAAAAAAAAGATCATACAGTGGTTAGGAACCTTGTCTTTGAAGTCGCACAGGCTGTTTCTCCCACTTATTATTTGATAAACCGGAAGAAATTTCTTAACATCTCTCATGAACCTCAGTTTCCCTCCGTATAAAAAGAGGATTGATAATACCTGTTTTTTCAAAGAGATACTAGTATACCCATGTCTATAACAGCATTTTTCTCAGGGGCCAAAGGGTGGAGGCAGCCTTTGGTATCCAGTGATGGATAGATGGATAGACATGGCATAGTGTGGACATACAATGAAATATTCTTCAGCTTTAAAAGGGAAGGAAATTCTGACACATGCTGTGACATGGATGAACCATGAGGACATTATCCTGGGTAAAGTGGATCAGAGAGAGAGACAGATACCATGTGATTCTATTTATGTGAGGTACCTAGAGTAGTCAACTTCATAGAAACAAAAAGTGGAATGGTGGTTGCCAGGAACTGGGGGGAAGGGAAATTGCGGGGATTAGTGTTTAATAGGTACAGAGCTTCATTTCAGTTCTGCAAGATGAAAAGAGTTCTGTAGGTGGAGGTGGTGATGGGTGCACAACAATGTGAATGTACTTAATGCCACTGAACTGTATGCTTAAAAATGGTTACGATGGTAAATTATATGTTAATGTATGTTTTATTACAATTTTTAAAAAGAAAAAAATGATTTTAAAAAGGCTATGAACTAAACATGTTTAAATCTTGCCTCTAAAAATGGAGTTGTTATTGGCGCACTAGTTTGGCTTCAGTACAGAACGAAACTGGGAAAGAAAAAACAAATGTTTAGGACCAGTATGGTGGCCACTAGCCACATGGGAAATGTGGTGTATTATGATATGCCGTAAGCATAAAATATATACCGGATTTTGAAAATTCAGTATGAAAAAAATATAATATTTTATTGTTTACATATTGAAACGATATTTTAGATATATGGGGTTAAATGTGCTATTGGTAAAATTAATTTCATGGGTTGTTTTTAACTTTTTTTAATGTGGCTACTACCATTTTTTAATTACATATGTGGCTTCCTGAATTTATTGGAGAGCACTTTTCAAGGAGAAAAGCAACTTTTTTTTATCCACTGCTGTGTCTGCAGTGCCAGGAACAGTGCCTGGTGTGTAATAGGCACTCATTAAATATTTGTTTAATGAATTAATGGGCAAATATATGCTCCAGTGGAAGAGAAATTAAGGTAGATGTGTTTTTAATATGGGAAGAACATATTAAGAACATTTTAATATGGAAATCCCTTTATTTGGATATTTCATTCACTGCTGTATCGTGTTATGTCTGACACTCATATAATGGGTGCTCAATAAATATTTGTTGGTTGCCTGAGATACTAAACTGTCTTAGAAATGGTCTGTCCCTTTGACATTTCAATCTACAGGAGGAGCTAGAAACCCTAAAGAGCATCAACAAGAAGTTGGAACAGAAAGTGAAAGAGCAGGACAGCAGGGAGGCAGAGCTGCTTCAGTGAGTGTGCCTCTCGGATGGGAGGAACTGCTGTTACAGACACCCTTAGATTTCTAGAGTTTGTTAGAAAACAGTCTTCCTATTATGACATTAATAAATGTAATTCTCCACTTTGAGTCATGAGCTCTTTGATACTAGGTTAGAGAATTAGTGTCAGAATGTAAGGAGAAATGACCTGAATTCAATTATTAATGTTAAGTATTGAATATACTTGCACTTTGATGTCAGGAAGCAGAAAACAGGATTGAAGAAAAGAATGGTGGATTTTAGGCTGGCCGAGTGGCTCAGTTGGTTAAGAGCTCGCTCAAGAGTGCAAGCTCTGAGCAACAGCAGTTCAATTCCCGGCTCAAGCTGAGCTGCCGCTGAGCTGCCAACAGGTGGCAGGATGGCTCAGCTAAAAAAAGTAAAATAAAATAAAAAATAGTGGAGTTTTAAAGAACTCTAAAGGCTTAGAGCCAAGGCAGCCTTCCCTTGTTTAAGGCCTGGGGGAGCTGACCTGGCATCAGCATATATTTCACATAGTCGTCTCCACCTCCACAGACTGAAAGAACAAAACCAGAAAATATCCTCAGAAAATAAAAAGATGAAAGTCAGAGTGGATCAGCTTCAGGTAGGTGATGCCAAACCTTTGCCCAAGTATGTTTTCTTAGCCTTGCCACCCTCCTTTCTCATGGCCCAGAGAGATGCATTTCCTTGTAACGAGTGCCTTATGGTGTACCTTTCAAAGCATTAGGCTAAAGTTTCAGAGTATGTGTTTTCTGTTCTTGACACCCCCCCACACACACACTTTTTTTTTTTTTTTTTTAGTCACAGTTCACAAGGAACTGAATAATTTGTTTGGTTTATATTTATCATGAGCTCAGGTAGATGCCTGTTATCTATACCAATGATTTTCAAACTTCTTTTAGCTACAAAATCTTTTCAAGCAAAATCTTACTCAAAAGCCTGGAAGGTAAAGCAGAGAGTCGAACTGCTGTCTTTTAAGGAAGCTGTGCTTTAAAGAAGGGCTTTAAAGAGTAGTTTGTTGAAGTTGACTCAGTTGAATCTTAGATTCTTAGGGTAGAAGATAGAGCTGAAGAGGGAAGAAGTTCTAAAGGATATTTGGCAGTTGGGAGTTGCTAAGGAACACACATCTCTTTATGTTACTGTATATGAAAAATCATTGTTTCTGGTTGGTTTACCTTTATATCTTAGTCGTATTCACTATTTTTGCTTTAGGCCCAGCTGTCAACTCAAGAGAAAGAAATGGAGAAGCTTGTTCAGGGAAATCAAGATAAGACAGAGCAGTTGGAGCACCTGAAAAAAGAATATGGCAAGCTCTTTCTCAGTTTAACTGAACAGGTAGAGTCCTGGAAGAAAATAACATTTTTAGGTATTTAAAGAAAATATATACACATTGTTCTTTCTTTATCATATCACTCTGGGAAAGGTCTTAGAGGAAGCCACCTGAAATGAGGTATCTCATGGCTTTTCTCAGAAACTAATAAGAGAAGACTTGCTTCTTTTCTGCATCCTCCTTGCTCATTAACTCAGCAGGCCCTTCCCCAGTGCATGCGTGCATGCTTGCGTGCGTGCATGCGTGTGTGTGTGCATGCACGTTTCCAGCAGTGATACTGAAATCTGTTTTCATGCAGTGGGAGTGCCAGAAGACGCTCAAGCAGACAGTGGAGGAGTTGAAGCAGAAAGAAGCTACGGCAACGAAGAAGCAGCAGGAGTTAACGGCATGTCTGTCTTTGGATGACTATGTGGGAGCCTACAGAAAGGAAGGAGGGGGATAAGGGCCTATTTTCAAGTGATGGAAAGGAGAAATAAGACAGATTAGCATAGCACTACCTCTGGACTTTTTTACTCTACCCAAAGGGGCAGAGAATCTGCCATTCACAAATGTTTAGGAGAGGTGGGCATTTTTGATGTGTGATGGGTTATAAAGGAATATTAGAAGTTAAATTTCACGACAAGTTGTAGTTAACAGAGCCTTGGGCTAGGAATCACACAAAATAACCCTATCCCCTTCTTTAGAGTTATTGTGCAGGCAGACAAAGTAGCTATTATAAAGTTGAGCTCTAATATGGTAATTAAAGTCTAATTGACTAATAATTTCCTATAATATATTGTTGGAAAAGAGGCCTTATGGTGATGACAGGTGCCTCGAAGCCCCATTTTCTGAATTGATGTAAGAACATGAGAAACCCTGATGTCTGGAGGTTATTGGGATTGTAACTATTTGCAACTATTTTGCAACTATATTGCAACTATTGGGATTGTAACGCACATCACATATGCATCATTTATTCATCCAATCAATCAATTATCGATACCTACTATTTATAAGACACTGTATATTTTAGCCTGATACAAAAAGAGTAGAACAAAGTTTGAAACTCGGCAGCTCACAGGTTAAATTTAGCCCACAGAAGTTTTTTATTTGGACTAGATGGTGTTTTTTTAAAAATTATATTAACAATACTTAAAAATGGGAAAATTTCCCATAAAAAATTGTATTCCAGCTTCTCTGGAAAAGTTAAGGATCTGGAAACATGGAGCCCACATTCCTGCACAGTGGCGATATCTGGAGCAGAGCGGCTGCTGCACCCTTTGGATGGGTCACGTGTTCTCCTTTAGGCTACAGCCTTCACCGTCAGCTCCTCCATTCATCTCCTTCATTCAGTTACTGTTGCATGCCGGGCCCCTCCTTATAGGCATATTTGAATTTGTGACCTCTAATGTAGCAAAGAAATTATTGTTTTAAATAATATATGGTCATGCAAAGGTTTGAACCTCTGTGCGGCAGGTATGGATTTTCTTGGTTTTCGTGGAGTATTTTTCAAGACCCAGGGGCTCCCCAGCTGTCTGAAAGCAATTTTTTATTCCTTATGCATCCAAAAGGCCCCTAACTGTGAGGACTATGTGTCTTATACTTCAGGAGCCTAGGAACAAGGAAACAGCAGTGGAGGAGCAGTTAGTACAAAAGGTGGACTGCCTAAAGGCAAAGGTAGAGGCCGGGAGAGACTGTTTCTTAGAGAAGTACAAAGAGTGTCAACAGCTCCACAAGCAGATCAGGCCACTCAGGGCTGCGGCGCTGGTAGGTGACAGAGACCAGGGGCCCAGGAAGCATGGGGTGTGAAGGTCTGTGGTTCTTAAACCAAGCCCAGGATTTTATACCCTTGTTAAGCAAGAAATGTGTCTTTCTGCTAGAAAGAGGAGGGATGGAGCGTGTAGCCAGAAACCAGCCTGGGAATCCCTGAAAACCGGCCCCAGCTCAGGCATGAGCCTCAGAAGGTTTTTGTAACCATTGAGCCACTTTCTGTGCAGACTCAGATAGCCCTTTCTTATTTCTGCCTTTTGAGGCAACGAAGCAGGACCAGAAGAGCCGGCAGGAACTCGCAGCCAGCGTTGCCATCGGGTAGCCCCTCTCTCATTACTACCTCAGGGTCGGATAGAAGCATACAGCAGTTTGGGCACCAGCATTCAAATAAAAAATCTTGGGAAAAAAACCCACAACTGGTAGGATTAGCTTAAAGTGTTTTTGTGAGGTATGCACACGTGTATGTAGGTAGGGAGGAGATGGGAAGCATTGAAGCATGCCTAGAGGCTTGGGGGGTCCATGAAACTAGCCAGCTCAACCCATCATACTGGGAAGCCCAAGACCCCAGTCTGGGTTAATGGCTTCCAGGGTTCCTTCTTCCTCAGTGTAACTTGAGTCCATATTGCCTGTCCTCACACTGCGAGTCATGCCAACCTAACCCTAAGTGCTTCATGTCACATTGATTGAGATGTTTATTCAAGGCAGAGATGACTGTTTCCATGGTTGGGTGGGATTAAACTAGACTCCATTTTCCCCTAATTTTGATAAGTCAGTCTTGAGGTCTTCCCCAAGCTTTCTGTTTCTCTCTGTGGTCACTTACACTCCCATCTAAATCAAAAGAAACCAGCATCTCCGTGCCAGCCAAGGGTCTTAGGCATTTTAAGTCCCTTTTCTGTTAGTCAGCATCCCCTCCACGGAAACAAGCGTGCTCACCCCAGGCCCCTTCTTCCCCACCTCAATCCGTCACTTTGGAAAGCTAGAGCCTCTGCGATCTCCTGCTGCTAGCCACCCTGGACCCAGATTACCATACGTGATCCTAATCCTCATTTTCTTTTTTTTTATTATGGACAGGACCAGAACTTTGACCTGTCAAAAAGACTAAGCGAGAACAAGATTATATGCGATGTTCTGCAGAAAGAGAAACAGAATTTGGAAGGAGAAAATGATGTAAGTGTATAGAAGGGGAAAAAAAACCCCGGGAGTTTAAGGGGAAGGAGCAGGGTGACCCAGAGATGTGGTGATAAAATAAAAAGTTAACTAAAAGAGCCCCTTCCGGGACAGTGGGGGAGACAGTTGCTTCTAAACTGAATAAATTTAATCAGTTTTCCTAATCTACCACAAAACCATCTCTTTATTCTATGACAAACGTGTTTGCCATAGCAATAGTCAACTTGAAAGGAAGAGCTTCGGTGAAGATCTAACTTACTATTTTTGGTTTTAACTTCACCACTATTGTAAGTATTGTCTTTGGAGGGTAATACCCTACATCATTTTTATGCTGGCTTAGGAACCCCTTTCCTTCAGCCCAACGTTTTCCTCTTTTCTGCTACCAAACCAGGAGCAGAATTGGTGGTCTGTACCAGTGCCGGACTCATGGTAGGCCCCTAATAAATGCCTTGCCTTCATTCATCCATTCATCAGTTCATTCATTCATTCATCCAACCAACCAGTATTTATTTTCTGTTGTGTGTTAAACACAATTTGTGATTGATTGATTGATTGATTGATTGATTGATTGATTGAGGATGATGGCAGCAAATGAAGTGGTTGCCCTTGAAGTCATTCTCATGCTCTTACCAGGCATCAGAGTGTGGGTGTCCATACATTCAGGTTCCTCCTTCTAGATCTACACCTCTGGCAGGTCTCCATCTCTGCCCTCTCTCTGACCATTCTGGGCTATGCTTCCAAGCAATCATTTCTACTTTTCACTTCATTATTTATGCCAGTGTGTTTCAGTATTGCAGAAGGCATTTGTTGTCTATTTCTGGCCCTGTCATTCTCAACCTTTTGATTTAGATAAGTACCTATAACTTGACTTTGAAATCCCTGTTTTCCTGGGATAGTCTGATGGGACTGGGCAGGGGTTGGGAGGGAGTGCGCACACAACTTAACAATAAGAAGGAAAAGATCTGATATTAGAAAGCTTTGTCAAGAACTATAGTAAAGCCCTCTTAAGATGTTAATGGGCAGTTTACTAATTTTCTTTTTTCTAAGAACTTTAAATGCTATCTTCCCCCTTTGTAGCTTATTTTCTTTTGTTCTCTCTCTCTCATTCCCTCCCTCTCTCTCTTCCTCCCTCCTTCTAACTGTCTCTGTTTGTATATTTGATGGGATAAAACATAAGAAAGGGAAAATTATATCAGATGAATATTCACATTGTGTAAGAAAATTGTTCCAGGAAAGACACTAAAAAAAGCATTTTGCTTTCAATAATGTACAACAGTTTCCATCTTAATATAGCTCCTGCCACCCTCATATAGCCACATAAATCTTATACCCCCGTTAGTTGGTATGTATTTAGAGATTTAAAATTCTATTTTGTGTTAATCTAAACAAAATTCAATATATATTTAAATTCAGATATCAAGAACTCAGATCTTTGGAGTATGGAGGCTACTGCTTGCCCTTTTGAAAAATCGTGGTTTATCATTTCCTGGGTTTCTCCACGCTGCTCATTGAAAAGAACCTGTAATTGGGCATCCCCTAGCCAGTTTCTTGGGGCCATTCTGTGTTGTTGTCTTTTCAACATGTCTCTATAAATATTCTATCCTTAGATTTTGAAGAGGGAGAACAGCAGAATGATGAGTTACATGGGTCTGGATTTTGACTCTTTGCCATATCAAGTGCCTACTTCAGAACAAGGAGGTGCAGGACAAAGCCCGGGACTGGTCTATGGAAACCCATATTCTGGTAAGACAATTTTGCCATTCGAGCTGAAAGGCCCCTGCCTGCATCTCTTTCCCCCGCTCAATTTTTGTGTGTGTCTGAGATGCTAATTAAGACCAGTCTCACTGTTAAGACTTGCTGGGCAGAAGCTGAGGACCCAGTAGAAAGATTGCCAGGCGAGACGTGTTAATTGAGAAATAAATCTGAATCTAGAAGACGCAAATCAGATCATTCGCCTAAAGGCAGCATCCACAAATTGAGTCCCGTGGCTATATTCCAAATATATAAATCAGAGAAATGCCTCTGAGTAGAAGATATACACATACAAAGCTGAGGAAGCTAATTAAGGGTTGGAAATGGAAGCACAAGAGATGGGGAGTGCTGCCCAGGAATGGGCAGTGACAATAGCCACCTGATGGCCTGACCAAGGGTAGCTGGAGTGTGCTCCACAGACACCCCCGGTCAGGAAATGTCCCCTGACTCTTGTCACTCAAGAACTGGGGGTCAGACATCCTTGCCAAACACAGAACTTTCCCCTTTTGTCTCCAAAAGCAATATGATACAGCATTTGCTTTTTGGACGGTTTAAAGCAGTCGTTTTCTCTCGAGTCACAATCAGAACTTTGCAGCACGCAGGGGTACAAGTTTATTTGATCTTTAAAAATATTTTTAAGCATTTCATTTGAAAAATAACTGCATGGATTCAATCTTAAAATCTATTCTTAGATTGTCTCCTTGTTAAATTGTTACTGTTTTTATTAAACTCTCCTTTTCCACACACTGAAAACAGGTTTATTGTTTTTTTCTGTTTCTATTGGGTTGCCGGAAAAGTCATGACGTATTTTTTTCTGTGTTTTTCGTTGCAAAATTGTGTCATGACTTTTCCAGCAACCCAATATAACATATACATGGCTATTGAAAAGAGCACTTCAGAGTCTTGCCCTTCTCTCCTGAGAACCACCGCATAGGTCCGGCCTGCCTGGGAACAAACGAAACCCCAGAGAGCGCCACCTAGTTCACAGGATAACACCCTACAGCAGAACGCGGAGTCAGTGATGGCTAAACCCCAGGCGGTCGTAGCTCCTGTATTAATGTCGAAGCTGTCTGTGAACGCCCCTGAATTTTACCCATCAGGTTATTCTTCTAATTATACAGAATCCTATGAAGATGATTGTGCGGATTATCCCACTCTAGCAGAATATGTTCAGGATTTCTTGAATCATCTTACAGAGCAGCCTGGCAGTTTTGAAACTGAAATTGAACAGTTTTCAGAGACACTGCCGGAGTGGGTTACAACAGATGATGCTTTTCAAGAACTTGTGGAACTCATCTATCAACAGGCCACATCTATTCCAAATTTCTCTTACATGGGAGCTTGCCTGTGTAATTACCTGTCCCATCATCTGACAATTAGCTCACAGAGTGGCAGCTTCCGTCAATTGCTGCTTCAAAGATGTCGGACTGAATATGAAGTTAAAGATCAAGCTGCAAAAGGGAATGAAGAGACTCGAAAACGATTCCATGCATTTGTACTCTTTCTGGGAGAACTTTATCTTAACCTGGAGACCAGAGGAACAAATGGACAGGTTACAAGAGGAGATATTTTTCAGGTTGCTCTTCCAGAGTTGCTGAATGCCCTCCTTTCTAATCCTGTGGATGACAATTTAATTTGTGCAGTTAAATTACTGAAGTTGACAGGGTCAGTTTTGGAGGATGTCTGGAAGGAAAGAGGAAAGACTGATATGGAAGAAATTTTTCAGAGAATTGAAAATGTTGTCCTAGATGCAAATTGCAGCAGAGACATAAAACAGATGCTCTTGAAGCTTCTAGAACTCAGGTTAAGTAACTGGGGTAGAGTCCATGTAACCTCAACATACAGAAAAGCAACGCCTGAAAATGATCCTAACTATTTTATGAATGAACCAACATTTTACACATATGATGGTGTTCCTTTCACTGCATCTGATTCAGATTACCAAGAGAAATATCAAGAGTTACTTGAAAGAGAAGACTTTTTTCCAGATTATGAAGAAAATGGAACAGATTTATCGGGGGCTGGTGATCCATACTTGGATGATATTGATGATGAGATGGACCCAGAGATAGAAGAAGCTTATGAAAAGTTTTGTTTGGAATCAGAGCACAAGCAAAAACAGTAAAGCTAAATTTCAACATAGTCAGTTTTATAAAGCAGTTTAGGTTATGGTGATTTAGCAGAACACAGAAAGCAAGAAATTGTGTCACTCTTATACCAAATTAAGGATGCTGAGTTATGTTACTAATGCATACAACTTTTGTTTAACACTGTCTGCCAAAATAAACTTTATTTCCTATAACTTAAAATGTGTGTGTGTGTGTGTGTGTGTGTGTATGTGTAATAGTTTATTATGTACAATTAATTCCACTGTTTAGGCTGCAATAAATCGATTTTGAAATAAATGTAGAAAGTAAATTTTGCTAGCTGGTTAGAAGCTTACCCTTTAAATTCAGCTTTTCTTGAGGGGAAAAGTCTTAGCCTGGAAATACATATTACTGCAAAACTGTAGCACCCTCTTTTTAGATATAAGTATATAGCTTTCATTTAGTTTTACATTTAGTATCTCAATAAATTGGGTTGCAAATGATTCACAATCATGAAAATCTTTAGCACTAAAGTCTTAGACTGTATCATTAACTGATTTACATATCCAGATGCTATTTGATACCAAGGGCTTTTAAAATGTCATTAAAAAAAGGGGGGGGGGATGAGGGGACTTAGAACTCCAAACTAAACAACCAAGATTCTTCACTGAGGATTTATTGCAGTTGTAGAATTGTTCTTTTTTTTTTTTTTCACCTAGCTTCATTACCTTACCCAGAAGCTTAGAACATTTTTCTGCTTCATTTATATGGCTTTCTCATTTTTATTTTGTAGCATGAGTTGTATTGACTTTTTTATTAGAGAATTTTGCTAGATCTTTGTCACTCAAGTTTTCATCTGCTTTATAATTGATACACCTTGAGGATCACTGTTCTAATAAATATTTTTACTATAATGTAGTACTGCCTCAGCCCTATTTTTACCTAATGTCAAAAAACCTTTTTCCTGGGCTGGCCGAGTGGCTCAGTTGGTTAAGAGCTTGCTTAAGAGTGCAAGCTCTGAGCAACAAACAGGGTCACCGATTTGGTTCCCACATGGGCCAGTGAGATGCACCTGAGCTGAGCTGCTGCTGAGCTGCTAACAGGTGGCAGCGTGGCTCAGCTGGTAAGAGCGCATGCTCCTAACAACAAGGTTGCCGGTTCAACTCCCTGTATGGGACGGTGGCTGCACCCACCCACAACTAAGATTGAACACAGCACCTTGAGCTGAGCAGCCACGAGCTGCAGCCAGATGGTGACTGGACTTGGAGCTGAGCTAGCTGCGGCCTCCACAACTAAGATTAAAGGACAACAAATTGGTTGTTCCCCTTCCGCAATTCCCCAACACTGTTCCCCTTCCCCAATTTCCCAACACTGTTCCCCTCCCTCAATTCCCCAATTTAAAAAAAAAAATCTTTTTCCAACTAACTAAAAGTAAAACTTATGTGCAAAAGGATTGCTAATAAATATGCATGTAAATAGTTCTGTTAATAACTCACCGTTGGGCTGGCCAAGTGGCTCGGTTGGTTAAAAATTGGCTTAAGAGTGTGAGCTCTGAGCAACAGGGCTGCCGGTTGGATTCCCGCATGGGCCAGTGACACTGTGCCCAAGCTGAGCTGTTGCTGAGCTGCCAAAAGGTGGCAGAATGTCTCAGCTGGTGTAACAACAAGATTGCCTGTTCGATGGTGGGCTACACCCACCCGCAACTAAGACTGAACTTGGCACCTTGAGCTGAGCTGCCGCCTAGATGGCTCAGTGGATAGAGCATGTGCTCTTAACAACAAGGCTGCTGGTTCGACTCCCGCATGGGATGGTGGCTACGCCCACCCACAACTAAGATTGAACACAGCACCTTGAGCTTAGAGGCCACGATCTGCTGACAGGAAGCCAGATGGCGACTGGCACCCTCCACAATGAAGATTGAAGAACAACTTGGCTGGTCCCCTTCCCCAATTCCCTAACACTGTTCCCCTCCCCAAATTCCCCAATGAAATCTTTAAAAAATAAAAATAACCAAATAACCCACTATTTTACATTTGGTGCATCTGTGTCTGTTAATACAGTTAGTTTTCTCTGCTTGTTTGTTCAGTCTGGATTAAAATTAGACTTAAAAAAAAAGAAAATAGCACTTCATTATTTTTTCCTTTTTCCCCTTATCATTGAACTAGATCCCCTCTATCAGAAGTAAAGGGTTTATATGAGAGATAAAAGAGTCAGAGGCTGTGGGGAGAAAGGGAACAATGGGGATTACAGAAAAACAATTGCTAGAACACAGTTGGAGGAGAACATAGGGATATTTTTTCATCGAATGAAATTTTTTTTTTTTTTTAGTTTCAGGTGTACAAAACAATGTAATAGTTAGATATTTACACCCCTCACGAAGTGATAACCCCTCTCCCTCAATCTGTTACCCCTCTGACATCGTATATAGCTGTCACAATTCCATTGACTCTATTCCCTATTCTATACTCCATATCCCGTGACTATATATATATAAAATTATAGTTGACATACAATATTATTGAGCTTCAGCTTCAGGTGTACAGTGCAGTGGTCAAGCACCTACACCGTCCATGAAGTGGTCTCCCTAATAAAACAAGTGTCCATCTGACACCCTACAAAATCTTTACAACATTATTGATTAGAATGAAATCTTTTTTATTACCCTCAGGTATCCAAGAAAGTTCTGCCCCCAGCCTGGTAAGTATTTTGAATCATGAGATTGACCACATCAAATCCTTGAGAAAATTTTCCTTCCTGCTCTAGTTCATGGGAGAACCATAGGGAAACGGGGTTCATTTCGATAACTCCATAAGTCAGCTGGGTCCATTTGTTCAGTGCCCAAAGCTGAGCGAGCGTGCTGAGGTGAGGAGAAGAAATCACAGTCCATCCATCAGCACTCTGCAAGACCGCCTTTGTGAGTTGAGTTTGGTGGCAGGACTAGGGAGGAGATGGGACCCAAGCAGCTAGCCAAATAAGGTGTGTCCAGTGCCCCTTCCAGGCTGGAAGCTGTTTGCTTCAGCAATATTAGGTCCTTTCAATCCTGGGGTTAGAGAAACCCCAATGAGTATCTCCAAATGTGAATTTGTTTATTCACTCTCTATGTCTTGAGCACTTACCATGTGCCAAGTATCATGCTATGGACTGAGGAGATAGTGGAAACTAAGATAGACATGATCTCATTTTCACTGACCCCTTTGCTCTTCCTCCCAGCTCTCCAACAGGAAGTGGCGCACCTGCCCATCAGACTATGCTGATGACATTTTTGACCACACCATGGAGGAGCTGCACATCCAGACGCCTTCTTTGAATTGTCCAATTTGTGGAAAGAGCTTCTCAGCAAAAGAAAAGCAAATCTTTGAAGACCACGTGTTCTGCCACTCTCTATAAGTGTCCTAGCCTCTTGGATCTATACTGTACATAGATTTTATATAGTAGAACCTATAGCTTCTACTATGAGTTATGACCCAAGGTTCTGCCTAACCTGAAATGATTAGGGATTTACTCAGCCCTGCTGTCCTAAAAATAGAGTCATTTTGATTATCTGAAGGATAGTGTTAAGGGCTATTACTTCCATCCACGTAGGTTACTACCTTTTAAGGCACTCATGTGCCCATTCTTCCAAGGGCCTCCCTCCAGTACAGGGGTCCTGGGATGGAACTGGCTGTTCACAACAGGTCTGACTCAAGTACTAAGTGATTAGTTTCCCAAATTGTCCCACAGCCACTAAAGGTCAGGCCTTGAGTGTATTTGTACTTAGTCCTCAGTCCTAACCCTGGGGCTGGAGATTGATAAGAGGTTGAGAATGTCTTCTTCCTCTTCCTCAGGCCTCTGTCTTCAACATTTGGCTAGCTGATTGCGTTCAGCTAGCCAAAAATGGCATGGCAGAGAACTCAGGCATCCAATTTGGATACCACAGATTTCTTTTCTTGATTTCTCATTTCCCAATAGAAGCACCTTATTCCTCAAACATGGGCATGAAATGTTATTTCAAGCACAGAAAGCCTTTCTCTCTAGATACCTCTAATTGCCATTTTCCACTGTTTGATGTTTCCTATGCACATAACTTTTATTGTTGTAAGCCCTTTCTTAATTGTTAGTAGGAGTTGTTAGAAACTGCATGGGTTTGCAACTTTCTGAGCAGGTGAGTTTGAATATGGATACATCCGAAAAATGAGAACTAACATTAATCTCTTTAATACTAAAAATAAAGAAGTCCTCTGTTTCAGGGACTTGGGTAATTTAAAGTAAACTTCGAGTTTATGGCGTTTTATTTTTAAGCTTATGGGAAAAGTGGAATTGAAAGGATTGTGGGAACTGTGGACCCCACCAATGATTTCTCTTCACCTGTCGTAACTAGTCAACAGATAGTTGTCCTGGCAAGTTATCTTGAGGTGAAGAGGGAGGTGATGAAGCATCGGTTTGAGAAATCTGGAGCCCTGACTTCTTGCTGTAACTTTCTGTGCATTTTTTGAAAGGAGGCAGTATGGATTTTGGCACCTTTTGTGAACTAAATTCAATTCCCTCCATCCAGATTTTCCTAATTGAACTATAAGAAAGCAGTTCCATTTTCTCTCCCCCCAGGGACTGAACAAATGGAAATGACTCCCAGGCAGCCAACCAGCTGGTCAACAAAAACTTCTGAATGATGTTCACGCGATGTTGAGCCCACCATAGTTGCATTCTTTCTGGGGTTTTCCCTAATGTGATTGGAGCCATGCCTTAGACTAACTGTATTGTCCTAGTCACAGCTCCTTGCCTTTTATTTCTTCTTTGATAAAATGAAGATGAAACAATACTACCCACTCCTCCTGTATCATCATTTCAGTGAGATGTCTGTTGGACTCATAAGCCTTTTGCCCCATAAGAAAGAGGTGGCATTAAGATTAACTCTAGAATAGAAATATAATGGGGAGATGGTAGTGCAGCTTTTCTGGCAGATACCCTACCTCCCTGCAAAATTTCTGTTGCTCCCCAGATAGTTCCAGCGAAGAATTGCAATTTCACTTATTTTGTACTAGTCAGCTTTTAATTAAGCACATGAGTGGAGAGGAGCAGTGGTGCACATAATCCAAATCAGTGAATATCATTTTCTGGTGAATTACCCACCCTTTTGCCCCTGCCACCCTGAGGGTTACCATGATTGTCAACAGCAGCAGGAGCTGTTGGTAAAAACAAAAAAACAAAAAAAGACAGTTGAGGTGTTAATGATCCTTTTTGCTAGA